AGTGTTTCATGGTGTACCTATTATTAATATAAAGATCATAAATGTACTCTACAATAAATAAACACACAGCAGTGGGTTAACTGAAAGATCAAACACCTCTTTTGTTTAGACGTCATACACAGATAGCTCTGCTGTGGGATTAGAGCTTCCTTTCCAAGGCATAATAAATAGAAATGAAACAAAAGGGAGAGTTTACTACTACCGACCTGCACTGAAACTAGACATCACTTCCTGTGTCCTCGGTGTAACCGTCACAGCTGTGAGTAAACACCAGCAGCGTGTCTTTATCAACTAACCAAGGCTATCAATACAAACTCATTTGAGCTACACTTGAAAACTTGTTGTGCTTCTTCCTGTGTAATGTAACCACATGAATACATGCATATTTTTATTTTCATGTACACATACATTTCATGTAAATAGAAAGTCAAAAATATAGGTCTTACCGTTTCCATTTGATCAGTCGGAGTGTGGCATCGAAAATGCCTATCGTTGAGGTCACTGTTGCTCATCTTCTCCGGGACAGGAGAACTGATTCTCTTGATCAGGGAGGCAGTTCCGGGAATTGGCTCTTCATCTTCCGAGTCTGGCAGTGGGGTCGGGCTGATATCCTCCAGGCCTGTGCTACAGGGACGGGAGTTTTGCTGGCCCCCCGTGTAAGGGGGAATTGGGGATAGCTGAGAGGACGAGGAGGAGATGGGACTCCCCTCCATCCGCACCTCAGTGTCCGAGTCTCGCTCCTCCAGGAACGGCAGTTTTGTCCTTTTCTCCTTTAGGAGCATCTCAATGCGAGAATCCAGGCTATTGCGCTCTAGGTCCAGCGTGGGGGAGCCAGGTGAGGGGCAGTGCTCTGGGGTTTGAGGAGGAGGGGTGGTCGGGTGGGGAACGGGCTCCGGCGGGGGCTCTGGGATCGGAGGAGTTTCTGGCCTCTCCTTGACGGGCAAAATGTCAGTGGCAGCTGCGGGAGGCGGCTGCGGAGGTCGGAGGTACTCCCCCTCCCTCTGGGCTGGGTGATGGAAAGCAGGCTCCGACGGGGGGAACGCGGGGGGCAAAGGAGCTTGATAAGGCGAGAAAGCGGATTTTAAGTTGGGCGTAGCAGGGGGAGGCGCTGTGTATGCGAAGGTGGGGGTGGAAGGTGGAGGTTCAGGTGGGGTGAGTTGGTGCTGTTTGAAGGGAGCCTGATCCGACGTGCTACCCCGGAACATGTTGCTGCGGTACTTAGGCCTCTCCGGTCTGCGGTTGTACGCATCCTGGAACTTACTCTCATGTCTGCGAGATTTGTAACCTCCGGAGTTCTCGGCCCGGCTCGACTGGTACGCCGGGGTGGACTGCCGACTGGAGAAATTGGAGTCTTGAGAGAACGGCGTGCCAGTCTGCCGCGGGGTGTGAGGGGTTCCCTGGGACTGGGGGGTGTCCTGCCTCAGGCTGGAGTAGCCCGTCTCCTGGGACAGAGGAGTGGTGGAGCTGCTGGGTGGCAACGCTCCTCCAGCAGCAGACACACTGCTCTCCGACAACCTGCGGATGGGCTCGCAGGCCTGAGAGGAGACAAATGGGATCGGGATTAATCAGTGAGCACAGGCGAACATTCACACCACTACCATCAAAACACACACATGATAAAGGTATTTAGGTTGTTACTTTAAAGATACTGTGTATACATTTGCAGGTCTCCCTTGAAAAAGAGATCTATGATCTGGTTAAATAAAGGTTTGAAATTAAATGAAATTAAATGCACTCATGACGATTTCTGCCAAATGTTAATTCTCAGTATGTGTACTCCTGCTTTCTTTTATAAAACAGACAGTGAATAAGAGCATCTAGGCAATGCCTGGGGGATGTTGTGCTAAGAGGCCAAAGTGCATGTTTCAGTGGCTTTGTGATTTCAGTCCACAGGCAATGCTCTGGATAACATTTCCTCTGCTCTACTCCACCACCTGCTGCACTGATAAAATGGATTACAGATAAGGATGTCAGCTAAGGTTGGTATTTGTATTATATTCAGCAACACTTCAACTCAGTAGAATGTACTACACTATGTCATTGAATAAGTCTAAACAAATGTAACAAAACCACTAAAACAAATATTTTGCATATTGTTAGACAAGTATTTACCAGTAAGGCTTCTGCCAGGCTGCGAGGGGAGACTTCTCTGACCTCCTCCCCACCAACAGGCAGGGTCAGCGGGGTGTAGCTGCCATTCATCAGGAGCTGGAAGTACCTGAGGCGATTCTCACCTGCAGATTAGAAAACATGCATGGGTATGAGGCCAAACCTATAAAGCAGGCCCTAATGCCAGCAGGCTTTATTCCAACTAATCTTAAGCTTAACCAAAATGTAAACATTTGTAGTTACATGCCGTTTCCTTTCCCGAGCACACAGGAGCATTACAAACTAATATCGAAAAGTGTTATGCATGGCATACTGAAAATCTTAACACAATTAATAATGTTTATGTGGTAAACTCTTTAAGTAACACATGCAGTTGATGCTATAATAAAATGGCCCAAACATGTTTTAATAGATTTAACTATAAAAAAGAAAAAGATACATTTGTGAGAGTAATTCAAGAGGATAAGCACTTGTGTAGGCAGTACAAACTGTACACATTGTAATTAAAATCAGTCAGTATTTTGCTGATTAAATTAACACAGATTTAAAACGGTTGCCAGTCAAACAATAAATACTGTATTGTCTTAAAATGAGTTAAAAGTTGCTGTTGTTCATTAATAAGAAGCCAATAGATCATCTTATAAACTCAAAGGTGTTTGTGACTAAAACACTTGCTAAAGTCTCAGGGATTTCACTTAGGAAGTAAATGAAGTGGGAAGAGAATTCTGACTGATTGTTTTCTGTTTGTTTGTTTACAGGTCTGAAATTATGCACACTGGGAGTACACAGTACCGTCAGCGCTGGTCTTGTGGGAGCCGCTTACATTCAATGAAATTCAATTATCCCACCACAACACACTACACACGTGACTGCTGTCATAATCATTTTTAAAACATGGCAACAATACATTTTTAAATAAATGTGGTGTTCTCCTGCTGCAGAGAACATGCTCGTTCGTGCAAAATGTGGGTTACTCAGCTTTTCATCAGACTGACTGAATCACTGTTTACCTTTCGGGTCCAGCTCCACGTGGATGAAGTTTCCCATAACAGACGTCTTGTGAAGCGACTGCACAGCCACTTTGGCAGCTTTCACGTTCTCAAAAACAACTTTAGCAATCCCCAGGTGCTTCTTATTCTTCGGATTGTACAAGATCTCGACGTGCTCGATTTCTCCGAATTTTTTGCACATGTCGCTAAGAAATCCTTCCCTGATGTTGTCGTTCAGCCTGGCGAATGTCACCTCCTTGGGAGGCACAGGGCCGATATAACACTCATCGATCTGGAAGAAGAATGAGAGGAGTTAGAGGAGCTTCGTGTTGCACCATGTGGGGCCATTTCGGACAGCTGAGATAAGAACAACAGTGCCAGAGTAGTTGCGATTAACATGCAGATCCAGTAAGCCCACTGCACGTATCAGATTGTGCATGTTATTTTGGTTTTAACAGCCCGTCCAACATCATAATTTCCCCCGACATCCAGGAGATGAGCAAGGGGGGTGTGTCTAGAACTTTTGACAGTCACCCTTTTCCTCAAGGAAAACTGGCATCGTGCTTTCTGTCAGATAATGTACCTTAAATGTCGGCACCGGGAGGTCGGTCTCTTTGTATTTAGTCCAGAGACGACCGATCCTCGGGTCTCGGACCATGTCCACCGGGGGCATCCCGGGGTTCTGCAGGAGAGGAGGGGGAGACGCATGATGTTATCCATCTAATCTACAACTTTACAATAACTTGTTGTAAAGTAGTTTCACACAAACCAGTGTGAATGAACAACTCCGTGCAAGATGCTGGAACACACCGGTCAACACAGACCACATTGTAACTTATCATGGAGGTCGGCTACTCTGTTACTATTGTAGCCGTTTCGCCGCGTCAAATACGTTCCACTTACGGGCATGTTGAAAGTCAGCCCATCGTAGCGATACAGTTTGTGGGATCCCTTCTTCAGCGCCGGATCGATGATCAACTTGTAACTTCTGCAGTGGTGGCCCCGCTTCTCCGCCGAGCCGCAGCCGGGATGACTGTCCATGCCGTTCGCCAAACCTGAAACGACAGGCAGCGACAGGGAGAGAAGAGCTATCGTGAGCCAACGCTTAAACACGGTCCCGTTACCAGCCCCCAACACTTTAAACCAGACAAACGTTACAAATGCATGGCTTTGGTGGTAGGGGTAACCTAAGGTAGCCTAAGTGAGAGAAACGGGATCTAGCGTGTATCCCAGTTACGGAAAACAGGCTTTAGGAGGGCTGGAGAAAGAGGAAAAAAAGAACAAGCTTACTTGAACTCTGCTTTCTGCCATGGTCTTCGTTCAATCTGTATTTCTCCCCTGGCTTGGACATGGTTCGTCCGATCGAGATATTTTCTTTAATTGATGAAAAGACGAAATCGCTTTCCTTTCGCCGCTTACATTACATGATTTAGCTTGAAGAATACTGCCTCCTTTTCGGCGAGAGCCAACACATATTGTGTGCCTCTGGTCTGTAGCTTCTGTCTCTCCCACAATACACCGCTAGGCTTGCCCAACGCTGATGCTAGCCGCACTTTCGCCAGAGTTTTATTTTTTATTTCCACGGGTTATTTTTTAATGATATTGATTTCTAAAAAAAATCGGATGTTTTATAAATGCACAGTCAAAAACGTTCGTATGCATTTATATATATTAGTATATGACCGGTAACTGCTTTGTGTCTCTAAACCTCTAAATCATTTTGTGTCGAATCTGCTGACTGTATTTACCCAAATGGCAAACACAAGATAGACACAGGGGCAATCTTCTCAACTGACACTAAAGGCCATTAAAAAGGATTTGGACGAAGGTTTTTGTGTAGTCGTTGAACAATTAAACCATATCGGACTATATTTGTGAAGGAAAACAAACACATGGGGACTCCGCGGATGTAGAGACAGAAGATGACTGCGAATGGGAGATGTCTCACACAAAACTCGGCTGATAAAACGTTGAAGTTAATTGCGAGGCTAACGTTTATAACCGTTGGAATGCGGCGGTGGGTTACGTTGTGTCAGTTTTGTAATCCAGACCAACAAACTAGTGCCAAACCGTTGTGGTACGTGCTGGCTTTTAAACAAATCTTAACAACCCGTGGAGCTTTTATTTGTATTATCATAACGCTTTTCATTTTTTAATACCATTTGCGAGACTTATATTGTCGCCTAAAGTGGATTTAGTTTGACATTGCTTGGTGTTTTGCAGTGATCGGGCAATTGGCTGGTTAACAGCGGCAGCTCTGGCGGGCCAATCAGAGCGCAGCAGCAGAGGAGCAGTCTGCTATTAGAGGCACGGCTCAGGAGTCCTTCAACAGAGAGCAGAGAGAGGGGGCCGAGCGCTATCGGCAGCCATTTTCCTAAAACGACTCAATGGCCTATATGGGTTTCCTTTGTTCCAAAAGGGATCTTACACTTGATTTCCTCATCTCTCACGGACTATGATAAAACTATGATACCTCCTTTTAAAGGATTGAGAAGAAGGAAGATTATGTACTGGATGTAATACCCTGTGACATCTTGAGCCTTTTTTCCTCTGCCTGGAATCCATCTTTGTCTTAACTAGGTCATGGCACACCCATATAATAGTATTTATATTTCTTATGTGAAAAGAAACCAAATGTTTTGAATAAACAGCTGTATGATATTTGGAGATGTTAAGTTAATGGGAAACACAGTTAAAGTGACCATGTGTCTGGCAATGCACTAATGGCCTTGTGATATGCTTAGCAATAAGTAAGTTCAACTTTTTTTATCAAAATTTAAAAGAAGGCTAATGTAAAATGTGAGGCATGCATTTTCTGTTATCAAAAGTGTTTCTTCAATGTATTAATTGAGCTATCAATTTACTCACAGAAATGTTGGCATTTGTATTATACAACTTTATTTAATATGTTCACTGGCATGCTGACATATAGATAATACAGTCCAGCTTATATAGGCTACTGCTCCTCAGATGACAGAGAGCAGGCCACGGATAACTAATGGCCTGTTAATTAACAGTTTATTGTGCTGCCTTCAAATTTGACTGTTACGTTATTTTATTTGATTAATGACTTTAAACACTTTACTCTCACAACAGCAACGGTTAAAAACCCTGGTGTGTTGCACCCTTCCTTCAGCTGTGGAGACAACTTCAAGCTCGATTAGGTTTGTGCTGTCCAATTGCCATTTAAGAAGCAAATGCGTCCAAAGTGTAATCGTCGGCTTGACCTTGCATCAAGGGTGTATTTAAATGTCTTAACAAGCCCAGAAAGGTAGCGTCTTTTTTTTACTTTAAAAAACGCTTTAAAAAAAAAAAAAACTTAAGAGGAAACAGATGGAGTGAAAACTCTTATGGTGAAAATATTTACCTCAGCACTTTGGTGAAATGCAGTTAACAGGCCTAAACGCAGGGACAGGAGGAACGTTTTCAGCTCCATCTTCGGATCCTCTAATAATGGCATTAATAAGGGGTGGGATAGCGTCTCCTGAAAAGGAAGGAATCCATTAGCAACGAAAGATAGAGGAGAGCTCTTTTGAAAACTTTTTGATCAGTGCTAGGCATTGCCTCTCGGCCAGCGAAAATGCATCTTCAAGCATCATCTGTGTGGGCAATATGCAAACCATCTCCTCTCTCTCTCTCTCTCCTTGAAGACAGGATTGCAGTCAAGTATAACCTCTTCTATTTCGACATTTCTTACAGAGCTACATCATGTTTAACCACAAGGAAATGTTGTTTTTGAAAGGTAATGGATTTTGAGCTATTTCACTTAATATGACAGTTTGTAACATGTCTAACTAAATGTAGCCTATGTCATTATATAGGACAGACAACCTGCACAATAGTTAACTGTGGTTACAACGTTTTCAGCAAAAATATATTTTATATACTTTTGTAAAAAAAAGAACTGTAACCCATATTTGTTTGATTAATTGTAAACTTACAGTTAGAACTCAAAACATGTAATCCAAGGCTTAAACGAGCAAAGGAATGTTATGGGAGCGAAATCTGCTAAATATAACTGCTTGCCTTTGTCCAAAAACACCTTTTTTGGTGGTAGCCTATGCAGGCTACACTTGTTCAATGGTTTCTCTGCTGTTCTCTTGTCTCAAAATGGCTTCTTTACAGACAAAGGAGAGCGCTGTGCTGTTAAATGTTGCTGCGCCATAACTGGGAGAGGCTCGTAGGCTGTACTCAGAGGGAGTTTAGGTTTTTTTCTCGGTGATGCAACAGGAAGTCTCACAACATTGTATAAAGTAGTGTTGTTGTTTTTTTACTAGTGTACTGTATGTATAATAAGAAGTAAAATAGACTTAATGGAAGGAAACGTAATACAAGTGGCGTGATCAGGCTGTGTGGTTGCCGGGCTGCCTCGCCCTGCCAGCCGCATGTAATCCGAGAGCTCTGGACGGTTGCCATGGGAGCTCGAGCGAGTTGCTGCTCCCCCACACTGCCATATAAGGTCATCAGGAATCCTCTGCAGCAGTGGAATAACACGGGGGAGGAGGCTTCCGTACGTGCACTATGGCTTCAGACAAAGACCGGAGGATAACGGGCGTTTCAGTGCTACAGAGCAGGACAAACTAACAAACAAAAAAAGCGATTTTTATCGTTTAATCGGCAGAGGAGTTCAACTTAGAATTGATGTATTTAGCTGCGTCACTAATGTGCCCTTTACGCACTCCATTCTGGTGCGTGAGCGTGTTTTACGCACTCCCCTTTGGTGTGTCTTATTTGCTTATGAGAACACACACTAATGTAGTACTAGTCGGTGTGTCGGAGGCCTGTTTTTCTTGTTATCCACTCCTAGCTCGGGGCTGCCAAGTGCGCGCATTTGCAGGTCACGAGGCTGCAGACAGCATTCCTCTCTGTCCAACCCTGCTTTCTTTCTACACCCCACCCCCCAGTGCAAATGGAGACAGAATAGTGAAGAAGGTTTCATGTTTGTGTGTAACAAAGGTGAACATTTTGCGTTGAAAACAGCCAATGAGGTTATTTATAGGCCTTTGTTTAAAAAAAAAAAAAAAAAAACCTCCCTGGTGGGTTGCGCCATTCAGTTTTGCGCGCCGCTGACAGACTGGAATATTCCACACAGAGGATTGGCCTCTCTTCTGCAGGACAGCTGTCTCTTTGCACGGCGAAAAAAACTACTTTTGACAATTGATCTTGGTTTATTAATTGATGAAAATGGGCTATACACGTATGGATATTTTACACACCTACAGGACAATTTAATACCTTTTTTTATGTGAGTCATGTACTGAATATCTTAGGCTGCCAGTTTCACCTTGTAAGTCAAACAAGCACTCTTTTTTTTATCATTATTATTATTATTCTACAGTCATTTGTTATAGATTTGACTACACTTGACCGTGTTGTGGCATATAGGGCACATGAGAACGGTTTTATGTCTAATCCTGTGGAGTCAGAATAGCCTGGCAGACTCTTTCTGTCTTTCTTTGTATGCCCAGCCTTTTATGGGCTTCTGATGGATTGTTGACTGAATCAAATCAGGTATCCTCCGTGCTTTGTGTATTTTACACTGGCTTATTCAAGGATTTTTCATTCGTGGTACTGTATTTAATTATTTTCAAATCATTGTCTTTTCTTCTTTCCAGCTCTTAATTATTTGCATGACTACTGTATTATTAGTGTAACCTTCTACAGCATGCGTTGTAACTTTAAATGACAATATAATACTATGTCTGTGAGATTTTTGAATAAATATAGTATAACCACTTTTTATGTTTTATTGGTGTCAAAACTCAAGCAAGTTGCTGTTATTTTTATTATGCATAGCAATTGTTTCCACTTATTAGGATTTAAGGCCCATCTTACAAACATCATTTAAGTCAGTCATGTTAAATTAGATACATATACTTCTCTAATGGGCTACACAAAAATCACCAACCATACTGCAGGGTGTCTTAACTGTAGGAGCAAATTCCCAAATATAAAGGTGGAATTCCCTTTCTGGCCGTAAATGTGTGTTTTCTGGGAAAATACATTCAAGATGACATGTCTTATATTAATCAAAGTAAATGGCAGTGTCAGCTCATCCTCTTAAAGGGACAGCTTGCTAAAATGTTACCCACTCTTCTCCACCAACTGCATATTTTCCCACTCGTGACCAATGAAATGTAACCTTTAGAATTGACTTAAGAGCTTACCTCAGTTTGAGTTTTGATCATTATTGTATGTGAGATACAATTCTCTATACCAGATAGCCTACTGAAGATTAATTTTAAATGCAACATTATTGTGTTTTCGAGTGTAGGCTATTTCCCTATGCTGTGCTTTATCCTGACACTCTGTATTTCTGTAAAAGCAATCATTGACTTTGCTGAAACATTCCCAAACCTAATGTTAAACTATCTTTTGCATACATTGCCCATGAATACTCCCATCAACCAGTTGTATTTGGTGTCCAGTAGTAACTTAAAGGCAAATTGACTGGATGTATTACATTACAGCATGTGTCGTTGCTCATGATCATGAGGTACATCACATCTGGCTCAACCATCTTTTAACCACTGATAAGGTGTTCTTCCTGCCCTAAAGCAGCCCGTCTGCCTCACACACTCATTTGAAAAAACAGGATGTACATGTTTCTCTTTACAGTATTGTAACATATTGTACGTCTTAATTGTATCTCCGAACAAGTTACTTAATTTTTCTAATTTAATTACTTTGATGCTGGATAAAGATGTCCGCTCATTGCACCCTGGGACGAGACAGAATAGTATATCCTGACGCCCCAATCTGTGATGTCACTGCTATATTCAGCCATTCAGACTGAACAGAGAAATATGACCGACATATTGCTTGTAAATACCCCTGAGGACACAAAATGATCACAATAAAAGGAAAATTCATGGATTAAACATGGTCGAATAATGTGCTTTTTACTAATTGCATGACAAAATTCACCACACTGGTTGCTGAAGGTTTCATAATCATATTATGGATCCAAAGAATAAAGGTTTTGTTCAGTTTATATTTGGTTTCTCATGAAGAAAAGTAAGAGTATTTCAGGTAAATTATCATGACCATGAAATTCAATGTATACAATTAATTAAATATCATTAAATTAATTCAAACAGCCAACAAAAAAACGGCATCCAGGCATAAAATATTTGAAGAATTTGAGAAAAATAAGGGGGCAGATTTATTAATTATGAGCACTTTACATGTGTATTGACGTTTTATTTAAATATAATGGTTGGTAAAAGGAGCTTTTATATAAATGTTCAGAATATTTATATAAAACCTTATATCTCTTTTTGCACATTTGTGTACATAGTAATAATCCTATCTTATTTGTTCAGCCTTACTGCCTTTTAGAGCAATGCAAAATAAGTCTAATTCCTTATATGTGTACATGTACTTGGCCAATAAAAGTGCTGATTCAGATGTTATTGTTTGTGATTAATTTGGAGGAAGAACGACTGACCTTTTACCCGTATACATTTCTGAGAAAGCAAGTTCCCACTAGTACAAACCTCTAAGAGAGGAACAGGGCACACACCCAGCCCACTGTCATCAGAGCATATATACGTTCATGACTTCACAGAAAAAAAAACGCCTGCTGACTTCACTTCTGCATTAGATGTGAATATTCACAGTGTTATCACACACACACACACACACACACACACACACACACACACACACACACACACACACACACACACACACACACACACACACACACACACACACACACACACACACACACACACACACACACACACACACACACACCTCTTTTGATAGTGGCATACAAATAGGCATGCACTTAGAGGAAGTAGGAGCAGCCTCACTCCACTGCTTCACATGTGTAGCTCGATATTTGTACCCAGAGATGCTGTAAGTGAGCAGAATGATATCATGGCAGGGGAGCGCGGTAGGGGGTCAATTGTTAACCGCTTCAATGTGACAGGAACAGGAAGTGGTTAACAGCGAGCTACAACATGAGGCTCGTCTGTTCCTCTGTCTCGACACTGCCTGTACATCACCTCAGCCTTCTCAAATACATCCGGCTTTACCATGAATTTAACTTAAATCTGGAGGGAATATCTTCAGCCCCATCCTGCCTGGCACCTGTTTGATTCTTGGGAGCCAAAATGACACACAACCATGCTGGGACTGCCAATGGTACCATGAAGAAGGGACAGGAACTTAAGATTGTGATAGTGGGAGATGGAGGCTGCGGGAAAACATCACTTCTGATGGTTTATGCTAAAGGTGATTTTCCAGAGGTAAGAAGGGCTTCAATGTCATGGGATTCACCTTTAGATATTGATTTGTATTTGTTAATTAGTAAAAAACTATAGTTAAGGCTGGTAAGGTTGAAATTGTATCTCAATTAAAATTAAATGTTCTAATAGTGAACACTAATGAAATGTTGGAACTCAGAAAGAGGAAGAAATGGCAAATAATATATAATACAAATGTATGATAAAATTGACATCTTTCTCTTGTGTGTCAAAACAGAAATATGCACCGTCTGTGTTCGAAAAATATGTCACAACCATCTCTCTCGGAGGAAAAGAGATAAAGCTCAACCTGTACGACACAGCTGGTGAGACTCTTTATCAAAAATCCCCTCCTTTTCTGAACATGATTAACTTTCTACTGATTGTACATTTTATATTATGTGAAGAGACCACTTTAGGAATAGGGGCAGGCAGCAGATTAACATCACATATACCTACTCAGACTGCCAGGGGAAATATATATTTATAATTATATACACCTTAAAAATGTTTCAGCTAAGACCTCCTCCCACTGTGTTTAATCCTGAAACTGGCAGTCAGAGGAAGTGGTAAATGTCAAATTTATGTCAGAGCATCATCAACATCATCTTTCCGGAACTGACTAATAAGCTTTTATGAACTTAGCTTTTAAGCAAATTCAGACTCAATGTTATTTTGAATGTGGTTTTAAATGACTGAATTACTGTACTTAGTTTTAGCCATCAACTGAAAATAGAGTCAGAATAGCATTTATTGTACTATAAATAGTTTTGGTTAGTTTAAAATATAACAAAATACATTAAATTCAAGGGTTAAGTATCAATAAGTGTAATGCGCTAAGTGTTAAAGTAACGAGTCAATACGTTTCTTATTTGATATTGGAAATGTGTTATATGTTGGTTAGGTAGAATTCTTACAGTGACTTTAGAAATTGTAATGGCACATAACACTGTGCCATTTTGTATTAGTAGTACCTGAATTAAGGTTTTGCTTTGTCACCGATTTCAATTCAAACAATACCCAGCTAGACACCAGCTGCTGCATTTCTGCAAAACATGAAGTTCCCATGTGAAGAGAAACAGTTTTTAGAAGTCATTATCAGGAAAACCCAAGACAGACTGACAGCCTATCTTCTATATAGTTGCAGCAGGGTGTCTTACATCAGCATAAAAGGAAGCTGAAGCCAGGATGTGGTTTCAGACATCTCTGCTAACTTTGTAACATACATCATATCTGTGTGTATAGGCTGTTGCATCGAGGACAGTTTTTTTTTACTGTGTGCAAACTTTAACATTCATTTGCTAATATGAATTGTGTGCTTTCTTTCTTTTAGGACAGGATGACTATGACAGACTTCGGCCGCTCTCATACCAAGAAGCCGATCTGATTTTAGTCTGCTTCGATGTGACCAACCCCACCAGCTATGAGAATGTCCTGATAAAGGTAATCATTACACTGTGTATTCACTTACTCTTTCAGGTTGACTGTTCAAATTCAGTTAGTAAATGATTGTTTGAATGTCTTTTATGATTAACTCATGCGGGCGAGCCTGAATGTGGACATTGCCCCCCACATGGTTGACTCTGTTGTGCTAGAACTTTCTCTTTTTCCCCAAGTGTGAAGACCTTAAGTCTGATGTTAAAAAGAAGACACATACAATGCCTCAAGTGCTTAAAGTCCTATTTTGTTTCTGCAGTGGCACCCGGAGGTGAAGCACTTCTGCCGGGACACTCCTGTCATCCTGATTGGCTGCAAGACTGACCTCAGGAAGGATAAAGAGTGTTCGAGGAAGCTCAAAGCCATGAATCAGGTCCCCGTCACTTATACAGAGGTAAAGAAAAGAGGAGTGTGCAGAAATGTAGTGACCTTTAAAAACAGACCTATTGTTTGAGTTTACAGGAAGCACCCAAACAGAACATACAACCACTTAACTGCCAACCGCAATAATGCAATAACAAATCTCTTCAAAATGTACATTAAAGGAATACACTACCCCCAAAATGACCATTTGTATAGCCATAACTGAATCTGTGTTACCTTTAAATCTTGAAGAAAACTCACACGGTGAAGTAGGAATCTAATAAATTGAAATCAGGGTCGCATTTACCTAAACTAGATCAAATAATCGGTTGGCAAAGTCTCACACAACTCATGCAGAGTAATCCGAGTCAGGTAATCTGCAAAATATTTCATAATTGGCAGTTTTACGCTAAACCCAAACTATTAAAAAACTTTTGCAATATTTACTTTAGTTCATTGAGAATTCTTGGTTTATGGATTATTCATGCAAAATGTTTCTAAAAGAATTCAAGGTAACAAAAGGTTAATGATTGATAAAGAGAAAGCCATTTTGTGGGTCAGGTATTCCTTTAACCTCCTTATACAATTTAATTATTGGTGTTAATGTTGGCTTCCAGGGTGAGGAGACCCGGCAGCAGATGAATGCAGAGCTCTACCTCGAGTGTTCGGCTAAACATCAGGAGAACGTGGAAGACATTTTCAGAGAGGCCACCAAAAGGACATTGGCTTTCAATCGAAAACAAAAGAACAACAAGAGGAGAAAGAACTGTGTCGTTTTGTGAAGTAAAAAACACACAATAGAGGACTCCACTGGCTAACTTTCTCATCCACACTGAGGAAGGTTGGACATTCAGAGAAAGGGGTTTGCAGCTTCTACTCAGAGAACATTGTGACCCCCTGAATCATCAGCCCTTTACCTACACAAGAACATGACCAATGAGGTAACAGGAAAGACAGTTTTGCAAGTGGTGTGCAACTTGAAATGCCATTTATTTTTACTTTTGTATGAGATGCATTTTGCGTTTTCTATATTTTCTAATATAAAGCTTTGTGCCGTTTCAAAAACCTGTATTTTCATTTAAGTATGTAAATCTTTTAGGATGTCTTTGTTACTGAATCTGGTTTAAAAGCTGCTGGTAGGTAACACATTCCCAGACAGACTAGTTTTTGAAATTCAATACATTATGGTACTGTAGCTTTAAGAAAACATGTTTGATCAACACCCAACAGTTAGTTCATTTCCAGTAAAAACAAAACACTGATCTAGAATTTGCTTTGGAGCTGAGCCAAAATGAAGCAGACCCCTTATCTTTACCAACAGCGCCCACTAGTGTTGGAAACAATGAATGTTTGCCATGGGTGAACACGTTTGGTATTTACACGATTCCAACACCGGGGGAATTATTTTCATTGCACAAAAAAACAAAATAGACAGAGCAACAATGTTTAATTCAGTGTTTAATTATTAATATACTTTATACAACAATGTACACAGATTGAGGATTTGTTACTGGTCACGTTACTCAAGCACCAGTTAGTCTTGAAATGAACGGTGAAAACATTGTTTAACATCAGCTACATCATAAAAATGAGGAAATCAAGTTGTTCTGTGCATCTTGGCAACGCTTACATCAAAAGCAACATGTTGGTCTCTGAATAAACATGCTTCATTTTCCCTCAATAAAAGTGATTTGTAAATATTTTGAATCTCTTCAGCATGATAGCGTTCAGGGAAATGCCATTAAAAAAACACTACCATCTTTAGATCTTCAAAATAAAATGACTTTTGTTACAGTGACAAGCTGGAGGGGAAATAAGGCATTATAGACCCAACATTGCTCAAAATAACATTATAGTTTTTTTTTTTTTTACACAAACATGAAACAAAACATTACAGTGAATGAGAGCAAACGTTTCAGGTTCTGCCATAAGTTAATTCATACAAATATTTTATTTAGTGATGTTGATTTGAATTAGAAAAACAATTTAGCACTTTTAAAATCATTATTTTGTTATCTTATTCTTACAGTACCGGCAATAATAGCAGCATTTGATCAAAATTCATGTCTTCAATTCACCCAAGACATGTCATTAGTTTTACCACAGTAATGAGACATCTCTGTGCATAGCTCTGTGTTCAAATGTTTATCAAGCTTGAAGGAAGCATTAGATTTATCAGGTTTTTACTAATGGTCCATGTATCAAAATGTAAGCATTATGTTAATGAGAACATAAATGGCCTTGGAAGAGTTCTCTAAAAAACATATTTTGATCCTTACTGGGAACAGCACACACTTTTTACGTCTGTTTTCATGTAGCAGCACATTTAGGTGTAACATCATACAAAAATACACAGTTATGGCTGAAGGGAGAAGTAACAGTGTTGTTTTCCCTTTTGTAAAACTTGAAAACCAAAATATAGCCGCCACTGACTTAGGAAAAAAAGACACAATGTTTTCTGTAATTGAAGGGCAGTAAGGTATCACTTTTGTTTTTTTAAGTTGTTGACCTACAAGTTTAGTAAGAAATACTGTTTAGCAGTGAAATAGCACAACAAGGAGTTCAAAACTACACAAACTAATTCAAGAAATGAAGTGCAGCGCGTGAACATGTCCGATTTTGTTCAAGCCAGAGACAGTTTGACCATTTCACAGAAGTATGAAAGACATGACGGACGTCAGTATGAAGTGCATGACAGACGTTTTGTCTTCAAAGGCAATCTATGCTCTGTAGATCGATGCTACCTGCCCTTTTTTAGTTGCATATGATTTGAACAAAAGGCTCTCCGAGAGATTCATGCGCTGACACAAACACCCAAATGAAAGCGGTCTTCCCGCTCAGTTTTTATGTACATGATAAAGAGTCCAACTGTCCGTATATCAGTGGAACTCACCACTCTGTGTTGTGAAGGACTTTGCAGCAACATCGACAACGATTAGAAAGCAGAAGCCTGTCGGTCAGACACTTTGGCTGGATGGTGCCGCCATCCCAGCCCGAGAGAAACAGTTTGCTCCAACCTCTGCCAGCATAACCGTGCCGTGGTTACTTTCAAGCCATTGTGCGCGTCGTTTCAAAACTACTGGCCGTTGGTAATAATCTATGAGGTTTCAGTCTTAGTCTTTTTTGTGATTTTTCTCCTGGTTTGTCTGAATTTTTTTGTTGACCACTTGCAATGTGGTGAAGAAATTTCCCAGGAACAAGACGAAGAATGTCAGTGACAGCATAATTACCTGGGGAAAAAAAGGAAAAGTCATGATTTTAACTGAAGCTATATCTGAATTTCTGAAAGGGCTCAGACATGTTTAGTATATGGGAATAACATTCTTTAGAACACTACACGTTATCACAGGTCATGTAAATAAATCAAGTTGAGCCTGTGAACAGACAAACCTTCCATGCACATCTTTTTATTTGACTTCAGAGGTCAACCCATATCAACCATTCTGATAATAGCTTTAAAAGGTTACATTTTTTGTCAGATACTGACACACACATTAGTTTACAAAGAATCCTGTCAAACATTTTCCTCTAATAAAGATAAAGATCACCCAAAACAAAAAATACATATTTTCCAATCTTACCCTTAATCTTATTTATTAATCAAGACCATTGTCGGAAATATTGGCCCTAGTACTGCCTTCTTTCAAATATAAATATAGACGTGTATATTTGGATTAACTGTCCCTTCAACAGCTGTTATTTCGGTCTGACATGCCTCTTGACATTTAAGCCCAGGACCTTCCAGTGTGACCCTCACCTGCCACTCCTTACAGTCCTCATGTCCTCCCAAGCGAAACAGGGTCAGTGAGTTGTAGAGCTGCCAAAACTGCACAGTGAGAGGAAGCATAATGGTTCATTATGTTGCAGCACGCTCTCATAGCACACATTTCTCCTCAGCTAATGCCGTCTCTTAACTGTTATGGAAAACCCTACCTCTGTATGTACACAGTTAATGCAGATCAAACAATAAATGCTGGTGTAAAATGCATTACAAAGTCTACCTCACTTTAAGCAATAAAGCTGTACAAAAACGTTATGTTTCGACTTACATGGCCACAAAAGAGGAATGGCAAAAGGAAAGTGAGGCCTCTCCACATCCAGGATTGAAATCCCTCTGAAGAGAAACAAAACTGTAAAACACACACAACACTACACCAATGTGTTGTTATCCAGTCATTAATTACAGATGGTTTTAGTTAGTAGCTAATTCTTTGAGCTACTCGGATTACCCCGACATCTGCTTGGCAACACACTGATTTGAACAAATGTCTCCGTCACCTTTACCCTATTTTTCCCCCACGGTGTTACAGTTGGCTCGAGAGTTCAAACGATTGAAATGACTGCCCCCAAAAATAGCGTTCATCTTACCCACTGTGAGGTCCAGCTGATTTCTCTCTCCCAACGCTCGCAACCTGTATAAGCAGCCCCTCTGGTAGTAATACTGGAGGTACTGAACAAAGCCTGCAGTACAAATTGAGAGTACAAAGAGATTACTTCATATCTTAGAACTGGAAAGAAAACTTTATTTTAGGACTGCATCCAACAATCATTTTCTTTAAAGATTGATCTGCCAATTTTTTGATAAAACACCAGATTGCAGGGAAAATGGTCTGTTCCAAGAATCAGATTATTTTATTACAGAATCGGGTTTATTCCTGGTATTTACACATACCAGGAATTTGCTTTGGTATATGTGGTGAATGCAAAGACACAGAAAGAAGAATACGTAACAAATTAAATTAAATTAAATAGTACTTTGATAACAGCTATTTCAAGGGGCTGGAAACAGCATTTTCTGCCATTTTTGCATGAAAAACAGTTAATCCACTATTAAGCTGTTGCAGCAAAAGTCCAAAAAATGGACAGCAACCTATAACATGAAGCTTAAAGTGAAATATGTTCCTCCTTATGTCCTCAAAACAAAATAAATAGCTGCATTTGTAGGTGGTTTCTTGTTTTTTTAAAGAGGAACATCTATTTGTTTATTCATTTGGTTTATCACCCAAACCCCCTCACATCATGATGTACATTTGATGTTGGCAATAACTGTAACCACCAGCGTGTGAGAAATAATTACTTCTCTAATCTGGGGAGAAGAAATGTTAACAGTACAACTGTTGAATTACAGATGCAACAATGCAGGCTATCAGTGTCCAAGGCCCACAGTATACAATAATTAATGCACAAAAATCCTGGTAATTAATTAAGAAAATCTTCATAAATCAAGACCCGTGTATCCACTAGAAAGGAGTCTTTTAGAGTCAGCTTTTAGTATGAGGAAGGTTGTGTACACTTCGTCTAAATACGTTTACACAGCATTTAGCCACAGATATATATCTAGAAATGTCATGATGAGTGAACACATTCCCAACAATATTTAACTGTATTGAAATCTTTCCAACAGCCATTATAAGGTAATTACAAAATACTGGCTTTAGAACTGTTGTCACACTACAGGCCTCTATGTCAATACGGTTAATCAGCTACATCTTCTCCAACAGTCAACTTGAACCTTTTATTTTAAATAATGCAAATTTGCGTTTATATATTGATCATTACAATGACCTAATGTCTTTGCTTTTTACTTGCTTCTTGATTACTGTCCCTATATAAATATGTTCCTATATAAAAAAGTGTTTGTAGTGGTAACAACACGATGTTACAGCTGATACTTGACCCAGACTTGGTCTACTATAATACCATGTTGTGACAGTTTGACAGCGTCAGATATAAACCATTACTTGTTACGAGTTATTAATTGTCTAATCTCCTCCTTTTTATAGAAGGAAAGAACAACATACTTAACATTAAGGTCACAGTCAAGGCAATTTGTCGTTTACTCTGTTAAAGTTGATTAGTAGAAAGTTGATCATTCGTCAAATCAAAAAGGCCAAATGTTATCATGTTATAGGTTCGTTAGTGTGAGGATGTGCCGCTTTCTTGGATCATTGTAAAATATTTTTCAGCCGAAATAAGACATTTGAAGACTACACACAATTTCCTGACATTTCATTGAACAACTGTTTTATTAATGAATCAATAAAATAATTGCCAGATTGATAAAT